AAATGATTCAGAAGAAAGTGATTCAGAAGAAAATGATCTAAAAGAAAATGATTTAGACTATTGATAAAAATGAATCAAAAGAAAGTGACGAAAGTAAAATAAAAGACAGTAATGAAAATGAATCAGGCAATAGTAATGAAAGTGAAATAGAGGAAAATTACTATAAAAAAAATGAAGAATAAACTGTAATTTAAGATTGGAAATAATAGTTTAGCTAATGTCTTTATGCATACTATTATGGTAATAATGTATTATGTAATAAAGTGAAGGTTTTTTTTGACTTACTGAAATTCGTATATTATCGTATTAAAATAACAGTTTTTTTAAAAAAATTTGTTTTTATTGGTAAGACGAATTTAAATTTCAATAACTCTTCAGTTATTGGTTAAAAGTAACATAATAAGTAATACAGTTTATCAATTTTTTATAAAAACTTAATATTTTTAATCAATGTAGAATTTATATCGTTAAATTTATCTTAACAGTATTATTTTAATATTATTTCAATATTATTTCAATATTAAATTAATATTAAAATGATATTGAAATGATAATTAAAATAATATCAAAATGTCATCTTTAAGTTAAACTTTAAATATGTTGTTTTGATGTCATTTCTATTATCATTTTAATATCATTTTAATACTATTTTGATATCATTTTAATATTAAAATAATAATATTTTATTTTGATATCATATCAATATTAAATCGATATTGAATCAATATTAAAATAATATCAAAATGATATTGCTTTAAAACTTGAAGTTTCTGTAAAGTTATTGGTAAATTAAGTAATACAAATTAAGTAATACAGTTTATCATTTATTTATAAATAAGAAAGTTATTGATTAAGTATATTATGAATGATAAAATACTTAGATCTATATCAATTTACGATTATTAAAAGTTATTTTGAATATATTTATGGTTCGCCTAAGTTTTAATTATTATTTTAATTTTATAATAAATGATAAAATGAAATAAATATAAACTTACGTAATGAGAATCATCATATTTTGGAAGTAGAATTATGGATAAAATATCGTGACAAGAGCTATCGCAGTTTGAAAATTAAGTAGGAATATAAATCTAAAACTAAGCATATATATTAATATTTTGTTAAGAACAAAGATAATATGACAAATATCTTTTGTTCATCAACGGATAGCAGACGTGAGTAACACTGGTAAATTTACCTGCAATTTTTTATAATAAATTTATATTCAAATATAAAGTTTGTTAATATAATTTGGATTATACTATAATTTCGCAGCTATATTGATCTACATTTTTAGCATCAATTGTATGGGTTTGATATGTGGTTAATAACCGCTAATTACCAAAATTAGTTACAAATTAACCTCAAAAAAATAACATATGGGCCGATTTGATGCATTAAGTAGTAAATTTGTTATTTATTAAAATTTTTGTTAAAAAATTTCAATGAAGTATTTCTTTTCTATATAACAATAATTGTAAAGCTTAACAAATTTACTTTAGTTACAAAATTATTATTTTTGGCAAGATAGTATAAAGTTATAATAATAATCATCTATCGTCTTCTCAAAAACCTGTTATCCACCTGTTGGATATGCTGTAATTTTAGCCGAAAATACTGTAATTTTAGCTAAATTTCTCTTAAAATATCCGATAATATTGGCCAAATCTATTTTATGCGTTGAATCGGCTCATATATGCATCAGAATTTTTATATAATAAATTAATTTTCTTTTCTGCTTTATTACAAAGCATTTTAATATATTTTTTTATTTTTATTATAAAACTTCACACTTTAATGAACAAATAGAGATGATAAAATTTAATTTTATGCATTTTTTACAAGTTCACAAAAATAATTCTTTTTTTAGAGTTCTATGTAAAGTCAAAATGCCACTTCTAAACATTAAAAATTATTATAACAAAAGTTGTTCTTCATAGATAATTTTCTACATATTCTATTAAGCTTTAATATAGCTGCAATCAAATTTCAATGAGATCGTTAAAGTTAAATGCAAAATTTTTCAAAATTTTTTGTTATTTAAAAAATACAACTTTTGACCAATGGTTAATCTTCAATCTTATAATATGTAATTATAAATTATAATTATTGTCGATTTAAGCTCTTTGCGAAAAAAAATTTTATTAGAATAACTTCATTTTTTATAAAATTAGATGAGAACTGAATTTTCAGTAAAATTGCAAGCAAATTTGCCTGCAATGTTTTACTGTTTAAGGGATAAAAAGTATATATTTCTCTATAAGTATTATATTTACACTTATAAAAATTAATATACAAGTAGTTTTAACCTTACTAAATAATTTTTAATTAATAAAAAAATTAATTTTATTTAATTAAAGTGGTGAAATTATACTTTAAATTAAAAAACAAAGTAATAAAAAATTTGAATATTGGTATATATTATATTTATATTAAATTCAACTTGTTGAATACTTTACTTAAGTATAAAGAGTAATTTTATATAACCAAAGTAAAATTATATTTTAAAATAAATATATTCAGTCTTTATTTAACAAAATAAATATGTATAATATAATAATTTCATATTAAAAATAATACATTAAATTTGATAAAAAATTTTATTGAAAAATTTTAATAAAATATTTCTATATTTTATAAAAAAAAAGTTTTAAGTAAAAAAAATTTTTGTTTATATATTTATACAAAAATTATAAAATTTAAAATGAAAATTACTATACAAAATATTTAATAATAAAATATTTTTTTAAATTTATAATATAGATCTTTATTTTATTATATATTTTCATATCTGAGTAATTAAAAAATCCAATTTGGCTATAAAATTATTATTTAATTAATTAAAAATTTTATACTAAAATAAGCAAATAAAAATTTTACATAAAAGTAAATTTTATTACTAAGTAACTTTAAATTTAATATATTTATATATTATTCAGATTCTATTATTTTATCTTTTAAAATTAAAAAATGATTTTTATTTATTTTTTTATAATTAAAAAAATTAAAAATATTGACATAATAATTACAATAATTTTTATAATTAAAAAATTTACTATTTATATAGTTAATAATTTATTACAATATACTAGAAATCATCCAATAAATTTTACAATCAAATGTTATAATATAATTATATATAATTTATTAAATATTACTAATAATTCTAATAAAAAGTAAAATTACTGATAAAAATTAATGTTAATAATACTAGTAATAGTTTAGCTTAAAATTATATAATTCTATTTACAATATAAGTCTTAGGAGATTTGGATATAAATCTGGAGAAGGAGATTCCCTTTAAGAAAGGATAATTACATATTGAATTTACTCCACCAGTCTGAAATTTTCTCTAATAGTACACATGGTTGTTTTATCATGAATTAATAGGTGGTTCAGTTCTTAATAAATTAGATTTCTTGTATCACTCTGTATGTCTCACATGTATTGATCTCTTATTATCTAATAAAGTTCTAAATGTGTTGCAGCCAAAAAAAAAAAAAAAAATTCTACTTATAGTTAATTTTTCTTTTGGTTAGTTTTTTAATCCAATTTAATTAATTTTTTTTTTTTATTTTGTAAAGTTTAAAGAAAAGTATAAATTAAAAAAAAACTATTTTAATTGAATATTAAATATAAAAATAATTGTATAATTTTATTTTTATTATATATATAATATATTATTAGTTACTATATATTTTTTAACCAATTAGAATTAAATAAAGATAAAACTGTGAAGATTAAGACTACTAATTGGATGAAATCAAATGATTTCTGATATATTTTTTATAATTGGTAAATTAGAAAATAAAAAGACTATTAATAAAAATTAATGTATATAAAGTATTTTATTATAGTGTTAATATTTAATCACAATTAAGGATTTTTTGGCCAGTTTAACTAACCAAAATGACTAAATGGTTAATAGCCAATTCTGGCCAAATTTGGCCAAATTAATATTTATTAAAGCTGAATTGAACATTTGAAATTTTTTTGGCCAGTTTGGCCAGCCAAACTGGCCAAATAGCCAATAGTTAACATTGCTTCATTATTTGTTATCTTCTAGTATAACTAAAAAAAAAATTTATTTGCTAAATAGTGAAATATTCCAATTAATTTGAATTTGTAACATTATATATTTTTTCTAAAGACCTTTTTTATATAGCCAAAATATATAATTTAGGACAAAATATATTATAAGTACTTAATATATAATAATTTGTCCTAATACCCTTTTGTTACTCATATTACTTGGAACTTTGAATTTTCTGTTGTAAAAAATCTATTTTTCACATCGATTTTAATATTAATTTTATGTAATTTTGCCTAGAGGCAATGCGATGAATAAATAAATTCTAACTTTTATTATACTTTATATTATATTTAATTTATGCTTATTATTATTATTTTATAATATTAAAGGAAAAGTCAATTTTCATAGATATTTATAGATTTTTAACTAATACAATTATATAGTATATATATGATGATAATATTTACCATAACTGATAATACCATTAAATTTTGCGTAATTCAGCATTAACTGAAATTGAATTAAATTATAAGCCTTAAAAGACACAGCATCTATCCTGCTGGGTGATTATCAAACGGTTTCATCCGAAAAAGTATAATTAGAATAACAGAATCTATTTAGATTGCTACACTTATCAACGCTAAATTTTAAATTTGGTTGAAAATGGAAGAATGAAAAAATTCAATTGGTCCATTAAAATAACAAAAAGTGGTGAAACTGTCCTTTTGATTGTCTGCATTGTATTCATGCAAGTCTGGATCTTTGCATTTCGCTTCAAGTCGGGTTTTGGCTACAATAAATTTCTAAATTTGTTTGTGTAAGGATTATAGCATATTTAGTTTCCAATTTCAATCGAAAAAAAAAAAAAAAAATTTCTTTAATATTATATTATAATAATATCCGTTGTACGGATAATTGTATGCGAGAGCTTTTTTACTTGTTTTCTCCATAAACAATATCACATTCCTTTTTTCTTTCCTTTTCTTTGCCTTTTTTTACATATCAAATAAACAGCTTTATAGACTTTTTTTATTTAATTATTACCATTAACTTCTCCGACTTAATTTTATTTTCAATCTTCCCAATCTAAATTACCGATTCACCGTGGTTCTGGATTACTCCTTTTCCAGACAATAAATAATTTTCTTCATTAGAATAAATATAAGCATTATACATAATAGATTTGTCATCCTAGATTCATATTAAACGCTATTTATTTATAATTAATCGTGGAGATCTCTTTAGGAGCATTTCTTAGAAACGTTCGAAACAGCAAGATGGCAATACTTAAGTTGTCGTTCTTTTCTAAACAACCAGAAACGAAACCTTGGAGGTCAGAATTTACTTTATTCGACGATTGTTGTCGATAATTTTGTATACTAGTCTCTTTAACAATTTATATGATTATATAGTTATCCTGAAGAATATAATGAAAATATATCTGAATATTTGTACAGAAGAGAGCTAGGGATACCAAAATCAAGGTGGGAAATATTAAATATTTGTATATTTGTACAAATGTCACGTATTATTAGGTTATACTTTTTTTCATAGTTTAGGATACTCAATACTGTATATGCCTGATAATATTTGTGAAACACAGAATATAGTATTTATATGCTAGTAATATTTCTATAAGACTTATATTAATTTGATATACCGTTTACTGTGCACTTTCATTAGGTATCCTGTGAACAATTCTAGCTTTAAGTCCGGTAAAATACCACAGTTGATGAAAGAAATTGAGATTGACATGGAAAATCATGATAAAGTTTTTTCATCACATTGGATATCATATAACGAAGTGGTTGTAGGAACAAAATGCAATAAGGTACAAATTATTAAATATGGAATAGTGTTTATTTCCGGTTACTGATTCTTTTTTAATATATTTAAAATAGTTGTTAATCCTTAACGTTCAAACAAATAAAAGATTCGAAATTCCATTAGTTTGTGAGCAAAATTTAGACTCAACACAAGAAATTCGAAACTGTTCAGGAATACGTAGCATCGCAGTGAACCCTTCTAAGACGCTTTTGGCTGTAGGAGCAGGGAAACCTGTCCAAGTGACAGTTTACGAATTACCATCATTTGAACCTGTTGCCGTATTTTCAGGCCATAGTGATCTTGTTTTTTCAGTCGCGTGGCTAGACGATTATCATTTGGTATCAGGTATGTAAACATATAATTTTTAAATGTCATAAATTGCTCAAACTACAAATTAATGTCCTCCTTTATAGGATCACGTGATGGTACAATCCGGCTTTGGTCTATCGAATCGAAGATTATTTCAGAGATGCCTTTATTGCCAAACAAATACATCAATGTACATCAACCTTTACTTTCCCGATCTGAATTAGGTGGTAAAGTGCGAGACTTACAATTTAATCCTAAAACTGAGGTACACTTAGCGTTTTTTTTTTTTAATTTATTATGACTTATATTTAGTTATGAAAAAATATATAACCTTATTTGTTTTTTTACGATCAAAATTTTTAGCAAATCATGACTCTTTCTACTGAAGGTTATGTACGATTGTGGGATGCATCATACCTTAATGGGGTAAATAATAATAAATTACAATAATTATGTTTCAAACGAAATAACGTGTTAATTTTACAGTATTTTACTCATATTCTAGATTACCAAAATCCCGTTAACACATACAAATGAGAATGTATGCCTGACAATGAATTCGAAAGCAAATTTATTTGCTGTGGGATCTCAAGAACATATATCGGTTGTTGATCCACGAACTTCATCAATAGTTCATGAGATTAGTTCGGTCGATGAAGGATGTGGTAAATATTTTTTTTCATCTTTATATTTATATATGTTTTATTTTATTATGTGTACTAATTTTAATTGTACTTAATTTGAAGGTGTAAGATCTCTTAGTTTTAATAATCATATGATAACAACCGGTGGAGGTTATGGAAGAATATCCTTTTATGATTTACGTGCACAACAATATTTATGTTTTCCTCCAGAATCTAACTCTGACAAATCTTTAGTACTTGATTATAAGGAAACCGGTGTCGGTTGGCTGGTATGCATTTAATTTTATTAAAATTGTAATTTTTTTTCCTTTGAAACGAAAAAAAATTGATTGAAATCAATCTTTAACCCTATTAGAATCGTGATTCAGTTTATATGAACCATTTTGCTGGTTATTCTATACAGAATGCGGTTTATGCTCTTTCATATGATGATTCGGGCACCAAATTATTTACCGGAGGTGGTCCATTACAACTTGATTTAAAAGGGTCATATGCAGCAATATGGTCATGAAATGATTGAGTTTTGAAATTTTTAGGAACATTAAGGATACTAGAAATAGATGTATATTCATTCATTTTTTCAAACTAAATTTTATATATAGATTACGAACATTCATTTATTTATTTATTTATTTATTTGTTGTTTGTTTGTTTGTTTAAGACGAATAAACAAATTGGGGATGGGGAAGGGGATTATTTAGATATTTAGTTTTTTTTTCATTTTAGTCTGATGTATAGTAGAATAACTTCTTGTCATTTCTGTGATTGCAATTGTAATTTTTATTACTAGAAACTCATTTTTTTTACGCATTACTTCCATATATAATATATTAATCATCACTCATACAACAATAATTTCCCCTTCGAATAAATTGAATATCTAAAAGATTTGAAAAATAATTATATTCTACTTCTATACTTATGTCAAATCTCTCATGTGAATTAAACGGTATCTAGAATATTAGACTCATTCCTGTAAAAAAAAAAAAAAAAATATCCTTTGCATCATTTACCAGGTTCAATCTTCAGAATTAAAAAAAAACTTTACTACTTCTACTTAACTAAACAAAATCCATTTAGATTATATCATTAATTTCTACAAGCATTCACTTGAAATTGAAAACATTTTCAAAAAGATTATCAGAATAAGAAACAGAATTTCTTAAAAACTTTGTACTGTACTATAAGAAGTCAACGAATTAATAAAAAAGGAATCAATTCAAGATATACTATCATTTCATTAATTGCAGAATACGGAATATAACAAACATTTGATATATTTGAAAATCTGTCAGTCAAGAAATTCATTGATTAACATTTGTAAATCTTAAACGACAATCTTTCAATCCCTTAAAAAATTTTGATTTTGAATTTTCTAAAATAAGCAATTTTTAATGTAGGAATATTGATTAACACTATTAAATCAAATTTAAAATATTTTTCAATTTCCTTCAAGAACAAGAAAACATAAACATTTAAAATATGTGCAAGAACTTACATTATCTAAGAGTGCCTTTTCCTTTGAATATAAATTATTTACAAACGGATAAATATATTATTGAAATATTTCGGAGTTTTTTTGTCTCGTAGATCCCGTGTAAATTGACGAATTTCACAGATCTACAACTTTAAATTCGCGATTCAAAATTTCGATTTCCATTGTTTGTGAAACATTTACCAATAAAAGTCGCGGTTTTCCTGGATTTCCGATTTTCGGTAGATCAACGATTCACAATACTTTGTTTTTTATATATAATAACAAAATAAAGACACAATCATAGTATCTGTGTCACTTTTCGTGGACAAAAAATTGACAAAAATTCGGATACCTAGATCATTTGCCTTCTAATTCTAAGCGAATCATTACGTTTATTAATTATTAAAACTCTAGTAGAATCATATAAATATCTTAAATTATTCTTTTAATGTTTGAAAATAAAAAATTTATCAAAAGAATAATTAACAGGTATTACAATTAATTAAATTTTTAATATTATGAATCGCTCCCCTACGCATTCCATTCAGCTCCAGCATTGTTTATTTCAGTTCCAGCGTTGTTTGTTTCGACTGTTTCAATTCCGGCATTATTCACAGCATTATTGCGCCTTAAAGGGACATTAATAATTTCAGAAGCTAATTTACGATTCAAGCGAGGGATTAATATAACACAAATGATTGATAAAAATAAGTTTATGCAACCAAAAATAATCGTCATAAAATAAAATATATAATCATAATAAAAGATAGGTATCAAAAATTTCATGGTAACTACAAAATAAATAAATTTTGTTAAATAATAATATAAGAAAAATAAACGGATAATATTAAATTTGTATAATAATTTTTTTCTTACTATAAGGTATCCAAAAGCCTATTTCAATCCTTATGCAGCATATATATGCATATATATACATTTTTTGTTAAAATCTTAAATAGTATCAATTTAAATTTATAATTATTTTAATTTATGGTAAAAAAAAAACTTACCAATAAATAATATATCCCAGTTTTCTAGACGCTCTATTCCAATTATATTCAATAGTGATAATATAATGTCCTAAATTTCAAGATTATTATTATCATTATTGTGAAATACTTAAAAATTCAAATTACTATATATTACCATTTATTGACATACAATAAACATCTGCACAAACATAAAATATAAGACTAAAGAATAAATTTAAATTATATGATCAATATTTTCATTAGATTAGGAAAACGTAAAAGAAATTTTATTTACACTGGAGAAGAATCCATTTCTATATGTGATATTCTATTTAATGCTTCTACTAAATATATTGTGTCTACAAGAAAAAAGGTACGACGTAAATTATTAAATATTAGATTCAAATTAAATGCAATTTCAATACTATACCTATAACTAAACATACTAAACCACACGCAAATTGCAAAGTTCTTATAATATTTAATATAAGCTGCATTTTGTAAAATTTTTTCTAAAAAAAAATGATTTGGTTTGAAACAGCCCACTTTATTTCATTCGACTTTCCTATATATATTTGTTTTCATTATAAGCGAGAATTGGATCTCTTTCATTGTAGTACACCAAAAAACGTATAACCAAAGCGCCAAAGTAGTTCATTGTTTCAATAATTTTAGCTTAATAAAGAATTTCTCGATTTGATAAATATACTCATTTAATATATTTTGTAACCAAATATTTGTTACCGGACCCATTAGTCATTACTATAAACAAATAACCCTTATTTTTCACATTACTGGTTTCAGCCTGCATGATCTATAGACTTTTATTAGGAATAAAATACGTCCCGTTAATCAATTTAATAGATGTAATATTTACCTAAAAACAATAAAAAAAAAAATAAAAAAAATGTATAGTAATTCATTATATTTGCCAAAATAGAGTAATAAGAACAATCCCCAATTGTGATCACGGGTTTCTCGTCCGCTCACGTGATTCGATAGTTGTTCCTAGTAAATTGTGTCTGGTCGGAAATCAAAAAGTAATAAAGTGATACTGCCGAGCTAAAAATACCAATTTGAATAATGCATTAAGATTAAAAACCGCAAATAACAAACCTCTTATTTTAAGATTCAAGTAAGATACTTATTGTTATATAGTGGTGATTTGAAACTTTGGTAATAGGTACAAATATTACACCCATATTTATTTATTTTTTTTATCATATCATTAATCAAGAATCTTATCCGATTAAACATCATAAAGTGTTATTTATTTGACAAACAATTATAACTCGTTGGATATGTAAAATATCAAAACAGTTCAAGAAGACAAGAACCATAGAAAACAGGTAAGGTAACATTCAAATCAGAAACGTACTACATATGTAGTTGAGCCAAATCTCTAAATCACTAAATACCATCAATTTACCTTGGAATTTATAAAAAGTCAAGACACTGAAATTATAAATTATGACCAAGCTAAATAATAAGTACGGTAATTCTTGTAAGAGAACCGAAATATCCCAACAGTCACATTATTAGCGACTATCTTTCGCAAATTTGTCTTCTGCATTATTATGCCATCATATCATCACTCTTTGAAAGTCTATGAAACTTTCATGCTATGTACTTTGATAACAATTATAGAACGTTTGCTAAAATCAAAATCACGCGACGCGAAAACATTTGAGCATGATTAATTTATTCTACTATTTATTATACGAATCTCGCAAACGTGATTATGATGAATTTATATGATTCTGAAATTTATAATTTGGTGATAAAATAAATAAAATGATATAAAAAACAAGCTTAAAATAGGACCCCAAACAATACATATATAGGTCAGATGAAATTACTTAATCTATAAAAAGCATAACGAGTACTGTACTAGTACAACAAACGGTTTCTATGCTAAAATTGCTCAGTTCCTTACGTTTACACTTTGTTCAAAATGACTCCTTAAAAAAGTCAATTAAACTTGGAAGTACTCGGTATTTAAAGAGCTAGTCACAGATCTTATTAACTTTATCAGTAAGTGCTTAGGTTGAGTGGACAAAAAATTTTGCTCACCATCAAGAATCAAATGTGACATATTATAAACTTATAAAGTATCGGTTCAAGTTAGCGGTAAGTGTGAATCAGAATATTGCATTGCTTATTTACCTCAGTTGCTAAAGTTTCTAATCTCCGGAATTTATGCTATAGACTTGAAATTTTTTCATCTCAGTGAAATTCTGTTTGGAACTTTGTTAAAATCGAAACTTTTTATAAAATCTGTGTGTGTCCGCGTACTCCCTCCCTCTTTGATAGCATCATACATTTCATTCGCTTTTTTAACATTTTTCACTTTGCAATAGATCCCAAATTATTGATAAGAATTTGTCCATATCATATTTGTATTTTTTAACATGAAATAAAAAAAGATGTATGTTAAAAATTTATTAGTTTATTAAAATGCGTTAAAATATGTAAACTGTATAAAGATAAAAAGCACATGACCAAACTCTAATAGTTTTGAGACAAAGTGATATCCATTAATTAATTCAATAAATTACTAATCTTCATTGACGAAGAACCAGTTATTGACGAGTCAATTTCATCAATCACTTGTTGATTTACGTTTCTTGGACAGCTTTCTTCAAGTAACATTGAAAGGTTATCACAATAATTGGGTGAAGGAGATGACTCACGTAATTCTTCAGCATAAGTACTATACACCTCATATCTAACTCTTTTGGCTTTTGGAGTGAAATTAACCTTCGGTAATCTGGATTTTTCTGCCTCCGATGGAAGCCTTGGCAATCCAAAATTAAATTTTCGTTTTTTTTCGGAAATCCTTTCGCCAAGAAGATTTCTCAGATACAGGCCATCCTTACAAACAACCTGCCTCAGGTAAACTATTAATTTGAATACGTTCTCGATATTAGTTCCAATGCAGTTTGATTGCAGGTCAAAGCTCTTGACATCTTGATCATAAATATATAAGGTGGTATTATATTCCTGGCTGTAGAGAGGTCTTAATATTCCAAGACGTATATGAGCATTATTTACTAAAGCAACATGCACTCGGATCAAGGATATTTCCGATTCTGAAAACATATGCGTCGAAAGTATGCGGTTTAGGGCATGAGACGCTTCAGCAATAACAACAGCATAATCTTTATGGACCTGCACACCACCAACTTCAAACTCCAAGATAAAAAAAGGGTACTGCTCCTTTGTGATAAGAGAAATAGCAACACATGCAAAATCTGACCTGGCTGATCCCTTTCCACTATCACCAGGAATTTGATGATGGAGTTCCCATGTAGAATCAAAAGGATCAACATTAAGAGAAAATGCATCCGATAATATTTTTGTCCATAACTGAGATTTAAAATGATTTTCGGAGGGATCAGCACCAGGGCGAACTGGTGAAGGTACGAATAGTAGGATTGATGTCAATGCGGACAAAGCTGTTGGTGCATCAATAACGAAATCAGCAGGCTCTAAACCCAACCAACGTTGTATCGTACTTATAATACCTGACCGCACTATTCCTATTTTACCTTCTCTTATGATTCTATTTAATACTGGAACAGCATCTTGCAGTTTTTGATGTCGGGTATCTTTTAAAGCTGCAATTATAATACCAAAATTTGCAGTCGGTTTCCATAGGTCTGGATAGCATATAGGATTCTGTGCCGGGAACAATTTACTGTCCACAACTGACCAAGAAAGTAATTTGAAAAGGTGTCTGACACGCTGAGACTCTTCTTCAAGATGATGGTCCTCTAATTGTTTTAATATTTCGCAATATTCTTTTAAAGCCGGAAAAGCCATTATGTTTGCAAAAACATACTGGACATTATAATTATTGGCTTGTTCGTTGGTTCGTTCATGGATCGTTGGGTAGGATACTTGTGTCTCCTAAAGAAATAATTAGAAAAAGATTACATTGTAATTTTAAAATCATGCAGCATAAATATAGTTACCTCTCGAGATAGGTTATCATCAACTTCACTACCCTGTCCAGATTCGTCTCCTGATCTTTCATAATAACCATCTGCACAAATATTAGAGAGAACTCATGATTAATTATAATTTGAATATATCTTGATACAAGTAAGAAGCTTTTACCGTTAAGATCGTTATCTAACCGAGAATGAAATTCGATATGGGCTTGACGCTTCTTTTTCTTTATTTTGCTCTAAAATTTCAATTTTTGTCAGTATATACATATAAAATCGTTTTGTACAATCAGTTACTTGGAAAGCAAGATAAACTTGTACAAAATGAAAACTCAAACCTTGCACACAGTCGATCCAACCTCCCCTTATATAAAAAACGTACATTTGCTTTTCTATTATCTCTCCAATCTTCATAACGTGTCCAGTCATTTTTATATCCGCCCATATCCAACCTTCCTTTTAAATCTAGAAGTTTCTTCGAACTAGGATCATGTTGAATCGCTTGGTTCAATCGTTTTTCATAATCATGGTTGGCAGCTTTCTTGCTGCGAAATTTAAACCTTATAAAAAAGTTTAATGGAGAAGGTTCTGAATGATTAAGTAAGAAGTTGATTTTCTGATCATTCATTTTTAATAGTGAAGCAAAAAATAATAACGCTAAATTCCTAAACAATAACCGTAATGTAATAGTTCATAAAACGCGAAAAAACGCGTTATCACGACGACACATGATTGGAAAAATTATGTTGCATCAAAATTTGTGATCGCCGATCAGTAATAAATATGATAAATAGCTCCAGTTTCTTTTTTGCAAAATAAAATGTTTCTTCAAAGCGCAGCCGGCTTACTCGAGCGGAAAAAACTCCGTGTTATTCGCTTGTATTCTGCGGACGTTTTTAAAACACAATCCCTGCGCAAGCGTCCGCTAGGTATTAAGTTGAAGGTCGGGAAAAAACTCCGTGTTATTCATCTGTATAAGCAGAGACGTTATTACCATATATTTGGGAGTCTGTCTGTAAATGACTCCGTGTCGCTCAGATGGTACGCTTCAACACCGGCTGTGCTTCTTCCTATACTTTTTATTGCAACGTTCTATAATAATGAGATTAAATTTTTCTTGCATTTATTTATTTTAATGAAAGATTGTTTTTCAAGTGAAAATTTCAAAAGGAACATGTATCCCAAATCTTGTAATTTATTTTTAACGATCATTAATAAATTATGGAATATCGATTATGGAGCGAAACTCAGCAACACAACCATAACATATGAAACCGGATCATAGAGTAATATTGAATAGTGTGTTTATAGACAAACAAGAAAATTATGTGTAGTGTGTGGACCTGTAAATAATTTTATGTATCTGGCTACGAGCCGAATGTAGTTTACTTACTGTATTAATAAATCTTATCCTGATGATCGATTTTTTCTATACATAACTAAATAAATCGCGTCTTATCGTTATATGAAATATATTATCAAACATGTTATCAGAGCTTGAATTGTTGAGACAGCAAGTTGGTGAGCTTGAGGTGAAGCCAAATCAGCTCCTCCGCCTACAGGAGTATTTCAGAATGTTTAAAGCTTACATTATATGTTTAGGCGTAAGTCCCGATAGTGAGTTGGCTAAAGAACAATTTATTAACGGTTTATCAGCAGAAAGATTCCAGTGGCTAATGAAGTTTTACCTTAAGTTATCTTGTAACGTACTCATCAGATAATAGAGAAAATCCGAATCAAATGGGGTGGATATTATACCTGATGACGAACCCTGGTTGGGAGAATTATTACTGGACGAAGGAATAGATTGCGAATTCTTCTTGGTATCGGCATAATCGCAGTACAGATTTATTGCATAGAGAGGCGGTATCACGTGAGGAGTAGTATTTTTTGAGATTAAGGAAATAATGCTTAGCTTTCCTCCCAAAAAATTTTATTTATTTATGGTCTGGGCATGTGACTTTATTACGCCATTGTATAATGACGGGGAACCGCAAATCGCTCGAATGGTTCTCAGCTTTTCATAAATCAATAATTAATCGGTCTCCTGATTTATCCCTTTCGTTAAAATGAAACGAATCTATGATTTACAGATCGGTAAATTTTTATTATCCTACTGGTGTTAGTGCATTCAAATTACGTGATAGACTAATCACTTATTATTCCGTTTTTGGGATAAAGTTATAGGAATTAGCAGTACGTAATCCAGCATGGGTGATTTATCATCTACTGTTTTTACAGACCCGATACATGATGAATAAATGGTAGATTCTTTATTCCAATAGGGGATATTAGCCAATCTAGATAATAAACGGTAGATATACCATTACTCCATTAGTAACATCAGTTTTTAGCGCAATTTTTTTCTCTTGAAAAAAGGAGGTCAACTAACAAATAAGCAAATCGTACAAGGGATGTAAATTTTATGCCAATGCTCCTGATGATTTATTCCCGGAATGGCTAATTTAAAATAATTATGCGGATCTATACGATATTTTTTATAAATACCCTACCTATTTTTCCTTTCTGAATCAAACTGCGCCACAAACGAATCGCCTTCTTATATGTTCGAAGCAAGAAAAAAAAATTCTAGTGTCCTTTTACCTTTTGTTTATACACTATAAGCAGTTTACTGAAGTGAACAGCGTCTCATACTCTCATGGATAGATATTCTAGTTCTTCGGGTATCTTTCTTTAAACACAAATGAAATAAGTGAATAGGAATGGGAATGGATTTTATAATGTAGCTAGCTAATTCTTTACCAGACTTAATTTTCCATAAAAGAAATTGAATCAGTACTGACCTCCCATAAAAATTATCTAAAAATATTTAATTATACTAAGATAATTAGACGTCAAAAAAATATATAAATTGACGACTGCTTCCAATTGATAATAAAAATTTTCAATTGAACTTTGTTTCTCAATGATAATTTCGTTAAATCCTTTAATTAATTGAACATGCAGGAAGTAGATTCGTCCCTGAAATATTCTGTGAATCTGTGGTTTCACTTCAACATGTACTTATACTGTGTATAAAATAGAAAAATTCAATTTCAGCATTATATTGTAACATAATTTGCTTGAAATCTTTGTATCATTATTACCTCGCTATATTTTCCGAAATATATTTAATATTTGTAAAATTTCTTTATTGTTAAAGATTTTAAATATCGTAAAAAAACTATTTACTACAATAATTACGAAACTATCAATTCCATCAACCCACTGATGATATAGCAATCTTGTCAATTTAGTTAGAAAATCATTTCCTTTTTATCGAAATGAGTGCCAAAAGTACAATCAGGAATTTGATTCTATAATATAAATATATAATACTATATATATATTCTTTCAAAATAACTTTTCATTTAATAGTCTCCCCTTGACTCTGCTGAATTTTTTAAATATTGATATTGATTATTATGACTAAATACAGTTTATATGTATTTTGTAGATGCATGCAGTCGTAGTATATATTTTTTACAACATTTTTGAAAAAAAAAAAAACTTCTATATGATTAAATTTACATTTATTTTATTTCAATTTTATTTTCAGTTATGCTCAATAAAAGTTATTATTATAATTAATTTTTGAGCATAGTAGGAATAATTTTTTTTTTAAAAAAAACCTTTTAACTTTGAACAATGTTTATTTTTCAATTATTAAAAGATTATTAAATGTTCACTGTTTCCCCCGTATAAAAAAAAATATCACGTATACAATATACGTATATTAAATGGCCCAATCATCATCTTGTTGTGTCGTTGTTTGTTGAACAATTTCAACTTGAATTCTAGTGAAAGGCAATCGAACTTGACTGTCTGAATCTCGTATTGACGACGCAGTTATTTGTGAACTACGTTGACTACGTTGTGATAGATCTTTTTCTGAAGGATGAGTTGGAATTGGATTATCTTTCCAGCCTTCATTTGTAATATATTGAACTGTTAATAATAAACCACCGATAGTAATTCCAAGAATACGAATTAAACTGACTGCCGTATTTTCAGATGTACCAATTGAAATAATGATATAAAGCATTAAAAGGGTCAACTGAAAAATATAGACCAATGTATATGAATTTACTTTCTTTGCAATCATTCTTTCATACGATTTATTATCCCCAGTTGGTAAATTTTGTCCATTGAAAGATAATTGATTGATTTTAAATTTTCTTAAATGCATACGAGTGTCTACGTAAAAGGTCAATAATGATAACGCATGAATTATTATAATGACTAAAATGATGTAAAGAACTGACTTATTTTTTTTTTGGTTTTGGTCTGATTGAGCCCCGCACCTTAAAAAAAATAAAATTTTTTTTTTTTTAGTTAGAAATTGTAATATTATAAAAACGATTACATGTTCAGTTAATTAGGAATATGCAACTCCTCCTGGTCTTCGCAATATTCCTAATGATCATACTTGTAGGAGAAAAAATTCATACCAATATTGTAATTTGCCATATTTATTCACTCCTAGTGAAGTATAAAATATAGAAAATCCAGTTGAAATTAAGAATATTATATAATCGTATCGACCGGAATTAAATTCGATATCTCTCTTAACTTTATACCAATTTATAAATGATATGAAAGTTACAAAACTCATCAAAAAAGATAATAAGAATATTGAGATAAAACCAATCGGATTGCACAATGGAGCATCACCTACAGATGCATGACTCTAAATAAAATTTTAAAAAGATTGAATACCACTATATAAATTAAATAATAAGAATAACTTGTTAAAAGACTGACTTACCAAATTAATAGTTTGAAAAATGGATGTGACTATTTCTGCGAAAGGAAATAAATTAAATAAGATAATTATATTATTAATAACAAATTGTAACAGATATAAGTGATATGAAATTATTTACCAACTATTGCAATATAGAAGGGAAATCTAAGATGCTTTGATAAGGAATCTTTATTATTCTTTTTCCATTGAAAATAAGTTCTAACGAGAATATATAAACATGTTATAAGATCAATTTGTGACAAAATTAAACTTGTAACAATTGTTAATTTAGAATCAGCTTCAGAACGCGAATTTATTGAATCTTCATCGTGTATTGCACAATTAACAAAATCTACTATGTAAAGTAGTAAAACTGTGAAGAATATTTTAGATTTCATTTAATATTATTAATACACTTATTACACTTTGTAGGATTAATGATATTAAAAGAAATTTTTTGAAGCTTCATCGCAAATGGGACCAAAAAAAATATATAAAGTATTAGCTCACAGAGCTCTCCAAATAATATACAAATAAAGAATGAATATTTATATGGTTCTCAGAACCATAAAAATATCAAATAACTTATTTTTAAAAGTAACAGCCCCAAAGAACAAATTTTCAAATAAAAACAAATCTATCCTTTTTATAAATTTTCCTAAAAAGTTTGACTTTTATAGATAAGATCTTCCTCAAACATTTCAAACGGTTTCAAAACGATATGATATATATAAAAATTCCATTAAAAGATGCAATATTCAAACAAAAATAGTTGATCGCGATTTTCATAAACAAATTAATCGTAATTCAACACAACATGATAGAAATCAATTATTATTGGTACGATCATTGTTATCAATATTAGAGTTTATAATGTACTTTTCGAAATATGCAGGAGTGATTATTAAAATGATTCAACGCAAATGCAACGGACAAAACAGTTGATTTTTCGGCATAACAAAATTTTTAATTCCTTTAGTTAGAATTTTTTATAACTCATATAAATTTAGAATATTATTGATTGCCGGGATTCATTTTTTTTACACTATAATTTAATATTATCGATAAGCAGGTATTACATTTGATTTTTTTTTTTTTTTCATACGTTTTATAAATTGTGAAATTTCATCATCCAATTTTAATAATCATTATCTAATAAATTTCTAATACGTACTATTTGTTTGTTGATTACATCATTGTGAAAGTTCAATCCTTCGAAAAGGAAAATCTTTGATAAGCCGAAATCACTCTAGCTTAATTTAGGTGGTATTTTTATTATTTCGAAACATAGAATTACTATGTTCTTTAATAATAAAATGCATTAGAAATTAATATTAAAGATAGGTTGGGTAAACGGTACTACAAAATGAAAAAAGATTATGAATAAAAAATTAATTAGTGTACGAACAGTGTACGAACAGTATACGAACTAATATTCTTTGTTGTAATTTACAAAAACAATACTGATATGATTTTATTGTTGAAAATTCTCGGATTTAATTATACCCTACCGGATAAATTTTTTTAAATTTAGAAGTTAGTAAAGGATATACATACTCATATGATTGTTTTTTAGTATATAAGAACGAATCAAAAATTTTGTGATACAGTAATTACGAACGAAATCTGATTTTAATTTTAGCAATAATATTAAGTAAATGATCGGATGTAGATAGACCCTTAACTTACGAGTAAATCGAACAAGGTCCAATTCTTGGTCCAATTGGAAGTAGATATTCCAGTCCAAGTCTAATCGAGTTAGTTCTTATAGTCAAATATCTCTTTAAATAGTTATCCAATTAAATAGTTTTATAATTCTTCAATTTACATATGGTTATTACAAATTACTAATAATTGTATAAAAAAAATGAAAATATTTAAAGATTGGAATTGGTCATAAATTTAATAATCAATAAGATTTGAATTTAGGCTGGACAAAGTCCAATAGTCCAATAATCTAGTAGTTAAATAATTCAATTATTCATTAGTTTAAAAGAAATACTCTGCGCGGCATAATTTTTTAGATCTGGGACCAATGACAGACTGATTGTCTGATTTGCCAGATAACGATTGCTTGACAGGACGCCTATGACGATTTCCCGAAGAAAAGTATAACTTCAAATAAATGAATTTTTTTTTGAAATAGTAAATAACTGATAATGTAACGCAAATAATTATACAAATAATGTTTTATAACAATCTATATAAAATAACTATCAACCATTTATTGTGATATAGGTTAATTACATAAAAGTTTTTAGCGGGTAAATGGGTAAATTCATACTTGTTATTCCATGGGTCACCGATGCGGCAATGGCATCCGAATTCTTGATGCTTGGCGCAGTGGCTCTGTGACTTCACTATTAATAGACGGTATCTGAAAAAGTTTTATGAAAAATAATAAAGTTTCTTTGATCGCAATAAAAGCATTATTGTGCAAATTTATAACATTAATTATCTAGTATTACATATATTATTATTATTATTACATGTGCTTCTATGTAAATTCTAATAACAAATTATTCTAAGAGTGAACCTTCATTAATTGAATATTCTTGAACATAAACTTCTACTGAACGGGATTGAAAAGTAACAACGTTTTCTTCTAGATGATAAGAAAAAACATTCCCTCTCATCCGATTATTCCTCACCCGGCTTCCAAGATTTCATTTGCTACTTCAGGTTTATCGAAAAATCGTACGTCTAAGCTCTTTTGACTTAAGCAAAGCATCTATAACAATCTTTCCTACTTCATAGTGCTGATAGTTTTTAAGAAGCTTCGCAGCTCTCATTTTATCCTCGACTTTCATTAAAATTTTTTTTTGATGTCTGCAGAAAAATAGAGTTTGTAAGAAGCAAAGTTGTATAAATTCGTTAGATTCAAATTATCAAAACTAAACATACCTTCGAAGGACTCATGCAGCATTGACGATCACATTCTCACCCTTCGCCCAATCAATAATAGAATTTGATTTTTTATCCGTTAATTCCTCGTCCCTTAAGAAATTTATTTGCAACGGATGTCAAATCCATAATTCGCCCGCCAACTAATTCATACAATTTTTTTGCTTCTGTTTCGTCAATTTTACACTTATTAAGATATTCCATCAACTCCTTTTCACTGAGATCACCGATTTCAGAGAGAGAAAAAAGAATGTATTAATTATAAATTATATAAAATTAAATATTAGGATGATGAAAAGAATGTAAAGGTAGGCCATATCAGTTTTTTAATAGCTGCTGACAAACACAGTGGTATATTTCCTGTCATCGGCATTGTGCTTTACATCATCCTGGAGAATATCCAGGATTTTCAGATTTGTATGGACCAAACAGTTGTGCTTTGCTTTATATACTACACTAGCATGATTGAGGAATCTCACAGCAATTTCCCATTTAGAAATCTTAGATTCAGAATCTACAAAAAGAAAATAAGAATCAAAATGACTTCAAAATGGCTGATCTCAACAATAAATCAGTATGAAAAATTACCATTCGGCTTAAATTTTTGCATCAGCTGTCCTGTAGTCCTGTAAAGAAAATGTGCTTCTCAAATGCACAATTAATTGCTTTTCTAAAAGCTTCACCTAATTCATTTAAATTGGAAGGAACATCAATGTATAACCCAACCTCCTTTGATGCAATTAATGTAGTTTTTCCGGTTCCGTGTTCTCCGCTGATAACATGATAATATGGTTGGTCTTTATGAGGCTGTAGAATCTTTTTAAGACGCTCTATGATTTCGGGTCGAGAAACCAACATTTCTTTTGAAAGGTTCACATCGGGCCAAGTTTCCATTTCCACAGTATCATTAAGAAGACACTCATTATATTTGTTTGGGGCCCAAAAAACCGTTACATCTACAAGAGATATAAAAAGGGCCGAGCAAATACGGAGACTTCGTCTATCCAACCACCATCTTATGAAGTCGCTACTGGCAATCAACAATCATTGAATAATGCGGAAGGTGGTAATATTGCTCCTTAATGAGGATATATCTCTGTGTCTTGCATTTATATTCTAAAAAATAATTAATAAAGATTCGCATTTTTCCTCATGTTTGGAAAAAACTACTCCTCGAATAAATAATTGCTCTGTCGTACAAACCACGGTTATGGTTTGTGAAACATTTAAAAATATTATAGTTTAAACATCATTGCATCATATTAAGGCATGAGGAAAGTTCAAAAATCGTGATCAATGTTACACAATTATTTATATGATCGTCCATAGAATCATATTAGATATTTTATTAATTCATTATGGTAGATTTTATTTCACAAATTAACATGCATCTAAGTGTAATAATTTAATTACTAATGTAAATGTTTTGGAAAATATACTACTAAATTAAATTGTTGGTTTTAGACATACTGTAAGAAGTAATATTCAAAATATGTTCAAAATATGTCCAAAACTTGTCAAAATCGTTTGTTCAAAACTGTTCAAAACTGCTCAATTGCTCAACACTAAGTTCAGCTTACCAAAATGACAATTAACAATATTAGTTGAAATAATTTTTTCAGATAAATATATCCCAAAGGTTCATAGTTTCTAAATTCAAAGTTATTTCCACAAAGAAAGAGAAATATGAAAAGAAATCTTACTTGTTAGTGACATCGTATGGAAGTTGCATACTCAATCCAAAGTTATCCTGCGTTGATATTTTTTTTTACTCGTTTGCTTAAAAGAGTTGTTTAGAGGAGCAGAGGATAGTGAAGGATATAGTATGACACTATGACCTTATAATCCATCCAATAACAAATATCGATCATGTGATTCTTTCGCATGAGTTTGTTAACTTACATTACACAAATAATGAGTTCTATTTTGAAATATTTTATTATTTAATTCTAACCGCATGTGTAATACATATAATTTATTTGTCGCAGATTTTACAGTTTCGAAATTTAAACAATTCAAATTTTAGTTTAGTAACAAAAAAATTTTTCCATTCTGGTGCCAGGCAAAAATAATAAATCAGATTAAAAATTAATTTTTTCCGAATTTACTTATAATTACCGAGATTTTGTCGTAACAAATATATAACAATGTTAATCCTTGTTTAATATTTTGGCATACGAAAAATAAACAAGTCAATTTTGAACACATATACATTAACAAAAAATTGAAATGGAAAAAGTTTTTATTTTGATCTTTAATTATGAAGCATACTAAGCATACTTTACATATAGTGGATTAAATCATCATACGGAGTATACGGTGTGATACGGTGTATTTGATCTTATTAGCTTATGTTGTTTACTGTGCCACATTTATCTTTAATTATGAAGCATAGGATTAAATCATCATATCGATCTTTCTTACTGTTCATTTGAAAATTCTTTTTTGTTCCGGGTTTGCTATTTTTAGAATTTTTAAAGCTAACTCTTGTTCCATTTTAACGAGCTCGGTTTTCTTATTGAGAAGTTCTTGTATTTCTTTATTATCCAATTTTCTACCCAAAAGATACTTAATATCTTCCAATCCGGAATTATCATTTTCTTCTTGCCCCTCAAAAAGTTTTTTTATATGATTCTTTTTGTCCCCATCAAGTTTAAACTTAGAATCCTCAACCATCTTCTCTAACTCCTGTCTGGTTTTTTGTGTTTGATTAACTGATTTAGTTATCTCATTCAATTTATGTTCTAATTCATCAATTCGATTTTTTAATTCTTGTTGAGTTTTGTCTAGTTGAGATTTTAATTTTTTACCTTCTTTATTTTCTTTTTTTTCTTTTTCTAATCCTCTAATTGTATTTTGTTGAGAATCGATCATACCTTTTAAATCAGCTATTTTCTTCCTTACTGAATCATCTTTTTTATCCAATATTTCTTTCGCCTTTGCCAATTCTATTTTCTTATTTGCTAACTTTCCTCGTAATTCTTTCGTTTGTTTTTGTAACTCATTTATTCGTTTTGGATCACTAGATGTACTAACTATATTCTCCAACTTATTGATTTTCTCTTCTAGACCAATTATTTCCTTTTCTTTCTTTGTTTTATCTACAGTTAATTTTTCCAATTCATTTAACAAATTTTCTATAGTATTGTCCTCACTAGATTCTTCTCCGGTTGGTTCTGATTGAACTTCCGGTTTTGGCTCTGTTTGAACTTCAGGTTTTGGTTCTTTTAACAACTCATCTATATCTTTCATTAGATTTTTTTTCTCTTGTTCTAATTGAATTATTCTATCATCTTGAGAAGTTCCTTCGCTAATGATGTTTTTCTCATAATATTTCTTGTTCAATTCTTTTACTTTTTCTTTGTGTCCTATTCTTACTAGCATATCAAAAAATTCTTTAGTTTCTTCTTCGTTGAGTTCTCGTGTTACTGGCATATCAAAAAGTTTTTGTTTTTGCGTCATTGTGTACGTTTATTTTTCTAATTTATGAATAGTCCTGATAGGTGTAGCACGGGTAGGTATATTTATATTAAATTATTATTTAATGAAATATATTCGGATGCTTTTTCACACTTAACAAATGGTAACGCTACGCCAAATAAACTTTATGACTAGACTTATTAAGCCATTATAACTTTCATTTTTACGCCATTATGTTTCTGCAAATTTTACAATAATTTACTCCGATGAGAATGCATGTAAATGAAGTTTAAAAATGTAAATTTTACAAAGCTTCAAGATTGTTTATATGTTGTACCTCAAATGCAAAATGTGGATGATCAGTAAAAATATAATTGTCTTTTTTGATAGATTAATTTGGAATTTGATGAATCGATACACTTTAACATTTATATTAATGAAATCGTTTTAATAATTATCTTTATTTTCGCCCAAATCAGAATGTGGTCACCAAAAAGCTAAATATTAATTATATGGTTAAGCGTATCGTGTCACCTCGGGAACGCTCTTAAAATGCACCTCCCACATTTATTTGTTTTGCAGGTGTATCTTCTCATTTTTATCGCGAACTCGGAATTTTTTTTTAAAAAAAAATAAAATATGATACAACTACATAAGGCAAATATAAATTGATTATTACATATAGTTAGTTTATTTAGCTTAAATTAATTAGTAATGATAATCCATCAATACATATTGAGTATTCAATATGGAGTGGGTGTTGCACATGACAACTAGCCTTACGTGCTCATGATAATCAATTTTGAGCACACATAGGTTTCCTTTTGAATTTTGAACACTGCATGTTACATCATTTATTGCCGGGGTATCATTTATTTCCGGCAATTTATCTAGCAATGCAATAAAACCCTTACAGCATTGTTGATTGAATCTTTTTAAAGAATTTATTTGGTACGATTGAAAGGATGAAAAGCTGTTACTTTTTCTAGTACTATTCTATGGGCACAGATAATCAAAGCCATTTGACCAATTATGGTTGAGCAAAAAATTGATCGGATTCATAAAATTATTTTCATGAATCATGAGAATTGACGTATTTTTTTTTTTTTTTATGTTTTATATCTTCAAATCCTTTCTGTTATTTATATTCCGAATTCTGCGAAGTGATTATTAATTATTGTCTCTTTCGTGAAATAGATTGTTTTTTTTCCAAACAAAGAAATACGTAAAATAAGCCTTCTAATCGTTTCTTTTTCAATAGAAAAAAAAAAAATTTTAAAATAACTGATAAGTGAATTCATTTGCATTATTATATGCTGTATTAATATAAGTTTTGGGATATACTTGTGACCATCTTGTGCTTCACTCCTATTATATAATTGTTTTCATTTTTCTCCTGTTCTCAATGAAATTAATGAAATAGGTAGTATTAAAAAAAAAACTAATTTGCGGTATCAGCTATGTTATTTCATGTTCTAATGTCTACAACAGGGACTGAGACAATGTAATGGTTGTTAGTTGGTTAACGCGTCACGTTTTACGCGTTTTTAATTACTAAATCAAATTACCTCATGCACGTGTGATTTTATGTAAAAAGGCGCCACAAAAATGATTACATGCAGTTTTCCCATTTCTTCGATTTGTTAATAAATATTTTGCTTTTAACTCTTATATAAGTGTATTTAATTGAATTAAATATAATATTCTTTATTAACGCCAAGTAATGAAGGCTTCATTGCCAACGATTTAACCAAGCGACAAAATGATATAAAATACCCTGTTCCCCGAATATTCATGTAAAATCATTAGAAATAATAACTAAAACGCGTTTGAACCACCAGTGGAGATATATTGGTTAAAACAAGACCAAATAAAGGAGGAAAGGAGTATATTTTGATGAACCGAAGCGTTGGCATATCAACCCGAGGAAAGGCAGCAAGAGGAAAAGGAAGCGATAAAGCGGTGAAATAAAGAACGAGCAGAGGTAGTAAGACAACTAAGGTAAAGGAGGAGACAAGAACTTAAAGACCGCGAGGAGGACACAAAAAGATATCATGAAGAATTAACAGCGTTAAGGGAAAAGCAGAAAAGTTGAGAGGTGTGTTTGAATAGTAAATATAAAGACCTTTACGCCGCGGAATACGAGAATTACAAGTAAGAAAAGATAATTAGGCAAGGATCAAGTTCAAAATCTTACGACCTAAACCGCCAAGATCTAACGATATTATGATGCAAATAACTTTATTTCATTTATGAATTTAGGTATATTAACAATTATTATTTATGGGCTGTAATTACCGCGAAAAAATGCCCATTAGCATTGTATTACCGAAACTGACAAGGGAGGATACCAGGACGGGAGTAATTACTACTAATTTATTAAAGGATTTAATGTGGATGCATTATGAGTTGCTCCGTAATTGTTGGTGCTAACCACCTAATTGGAGATAATTTTATTCGTGGAACTCTCGCTAAAAGATGTACTCCAAATGACAATGCAACAATCACCTTTAATTCTGTTATCGACTGGAATGATCTTGGATACTGTTCAAAAACAATGTCAAGTATCATTACATCAAATTTAAAGATCAAAATTTTTTACAAAATGCGATTATACAGATTTATAGTTTCGTTAAATAACATTGTGAAATTTTCAATGTAAGTCTTTTTTCTTGATTGTAAGAAAAAATATGAATTGATTATTATTATAGTACTATTAGTAATTCATAATCATTAAAAAAAAAAAAATCGAAATCCTGCTATTATTTGGATTTTTAATTGAACTTAAAAGATTTTATAATTCCGATAGTATTGCTGAAATTGAAACAAATAAATAACAGAGTAAATAATTCCGGTCTAAGTGGTGGGCTATAGACCTTAAAAATATTTTTAATCCATTTTCTAATTAATAATACTTTTTATATTTATATAAACAAAATAATATGAACGAAGAATTCTAATAAAGATGTAAAATACTATAATTATTATTATCTTAAACATAATTTTAAACTATCATTCATCATCATTACTGTTAAATTATAATCATCATAAGAATGAGCATGTGAGTTATATAATTCTAAACTCATTCTTTTATTATAATGTGGTGGCCTAAAAAAAAAATACAAAACGATTAATCTAATAAAATAAAAATAAATACTATATATATTTAATAAATTTTTCTTACCATTTTTTATATTTATTTTGAATATAAGTCATTTCACATAAAACATAAACAACTCTATGTTCAAACCCTTTCCTTATAGCAGCAGTTTCTAAAAATTTAATAGTATTTTCACCTAATTACAAGAAAGAATATTTTTATTTTTTTTAAAGATAAAAAAATAATTAAAAAAAAATAAATTAATCATATATATATAATTACTTACATCGTTCAAACAGATCATTTAAAATTATTTCATTCCTTACATTTTTATATTCATCAAAACCTTCTCTAATTCTTTGTCTAATATAATAAACGGCAGGTTTTGAACATAATACAGATGAATCTCCTGCTCTCCATAATCTTCTAAAGAGTGATAAAGCTTTTTTATTAGGAGACATTAATAAAAAATTAATAAAGGTAAGATTATGATCAAAATAATATCACATTTTATTAGTACAGATCATAGTAACTAAAAATGGTTTAATTAAAAATCCAAAATTTTTAAAAGGAAAATTAATCTACATAATTAAAAATAACATTGTTTTTTTTAAGATTAAAGGATTATAGAAATCTATTGTATATTATCCCTTCTTTTTTTTTTTAAATTAGTTAAAAAATAATGTTCATTAATCTACATTAATCTAATCTATTACATCTTTTCTCCTAAATAATTAAAAGAATCCCATCCGGTTATTCTTCATCGGAACCTTTTGCGTTTCTCTTTTTTGCGTTTGGTCCACCAACACTTTTGCGACGATTAATATTTTGTGTGGAGGTTGCCTTTGAAGGTTCTGAACGTGTTGATGCAGAAGCATTTTTAGTTTTTGACCGAACACTTCTATTAGGTTTAGTTTCTTCTTCACCACCACTCGATACACTTTTTCGTCTATCTGAAGTAGTAGGACGTTTTTTTGTTTGACGATGATTTTTATTACTGCTAGCAGTTTGTTCTTCATCTGAAGCTTCAGAACTAGTAGGATTAATTTTTCTTTTTACACGCTTTGGTTTAATTATTTTACGACTTTGAGTCTTTTCGGGAGTTTTTTCATGTGAAGAGGATGATTCATCACTTGTTGCTTCAGCTTTTTGTCGATTTTGTGCGTTACGGTTATTTTGTGAACCTGTAGAACGTTTTGATCGATCCTCTATCTCAATTTGTTTTGCTTTACCTCTGGATCGAGTAGAAATTGTGGTGGTCGGTTGATCATGTGGCGTATCTTAAAATAAATTTATAAAAGAAATTAAATTAGATGAACTTAAATTTTCTGTAAAAAAATATATTTTTAAATTACTAAAAAAAATACCATCACCATCTTCAGCTTCCATTTGTTCTCCATCATCATCAGCTGCTTCAGGTGGACGTTGTAAAAATGTAGTTTCTTTTTCAACAGACTCGCCCAAAAGCATAAAGTTAGGTCGTAATGACATAAAAGCTGAAATTTTTTTAATAAAAGGAAAATAAAATTAATTAATTAATTAATATAATTAAATATATTTATCAAATAAAAATTTTTTACCTTGTTTAAGCTTTTCATTTTTCCATAATTCTACTATTACATCAAAAAAAGCACTTGCTTCATTTTCATCATCTTCAGTTTCAGGTTCGGTTTCATTCAATTTACGTATTTTATTATCAACTTCACTTGTCATAACTTTAATTAATCTATCTGGAAAGACATCATTCCATCGAGTAAATATTGATATGACGAATTTTATATTTTCAAACTTGCTCTCTTGTGATTTTGCATTAGTAATTAGTTTTGTTAATAACGAAATATTATTCTCCGTTGGAGGAATAAGTTCAAGGAGAGATAAAAGTCCACATAAAGCTTCAGGATGTTCTAATTAATAATTAACAAATTTAAGATTGTAAGAGGTTATTACGTATAATAACATTTTATAAATTTTATATTACCTATCGGTTCTAAAACTTTCAATTGTAAACTTGAACTTATAAATTCTTCAATCTTTTCAATGTTATTGCCAATTTCGGCTTTTATCAATTGAAAAAGATAAAATTGTTCAAATGAACCCCAACAATTCAGTGAATGTTCTAATAATAACAATAAATAAACAAACAAACAAATATATATATACATAAAACAATTAGTAAAAATAAAAATCCTCAAAAAAAAAAACAAATAATAAAGTAATACCTAAAACATAATCCAAATCTATATTTCCAAACACTTTATAATGACCCAGCCGTAAATCCGTCTCAAATTTATAGATCTGGAAAATAATAGTTAAAAATATGCGTCTATAATCATATAATCAAGATATGAAAAAGAAATTACGTACAAGCATCGGATTTATTCCATGAATAATTGAAGTTATAAATTCAAATTTTCCAACAAAAATATCTGGCCAATTTTGTAAAAGTTTGGGTACGATCGAATCAAAAACATTGCATTCATACTGTTGTAACAACTATAAATGGATTAAAATTAATATAATAATATAAGTCACAATATTAGGATGTATGTATATTTGTAAAAATATGTTAAAGGAAATTACCTGTACGCCTGTTAAAAACCGTTTGTTCACTTCTTCTTCAACATTAGGTTGTGAATCTTCGCACTTAACCTCATAATTTATATATTCAATATATAAATTAATTAAAGATTTAAAATCTTTAGTTAATACGGTTCCTAATTTATCCAGTTTTAATGACCTACAATAAACATAATGATAATATATCTTTTTAAAAAAATGATGCTAATATATGATGCTAATACCGAATAGTAATAATATATATTACATACCTGAAACAGTGTACCAGTAATTTCAACCTGCCTTCTGCATGTACCTTTTCGTCCTTTTTAATAATAAGCCTGTACATCTCAAATGATTTAAATTTAGGTGAATCATTTCTCGAAGGTTCATCCTTATGATCAAAAACCCAAGATACTAAACAATTAAATAAATTCTGTTTTGACGGATTGATTTCGAGACATTCAGAATTCAAGTCAAAACATCCATTAAGTTCATCAAAATTTAGCGTTCGGCAAATATCAGGTCCAATAAAAGAGGGTAGATCTGTAAGATGTGGAGAATTTGGAGCATCCAATTTTACACCCTTATATTTAAAAAATATCTTAGTAAACTAAAAATTCTAATAAAAATAAGAATTGTAAATCTTGAACATATTACATTTAAAAAAAGGCCCAATACTTGACGTAAATATTGTGTTTCATCTACAGAGTTGCTGGATAAAGACGCTACTTTAAAATTTTTCAAATGATTACTATAAAGCCATAAACTAGCTGGAACAGGCACAGAATTTGATGGTGACGGTACAATAATTCGTGTAGTTGACGATGTTTCTTCTACGATAGATTTTGTTTCATGCGATTTTGTGACTTGAGCCACAGGTACATTTGAAGGTTGATCCGAGAATGGTATTGAATCGCGTCTCTTTGTGGGTAATGTTTGATTATCAAGGTTCTGAAAATTTGTTCCTGGTTTGGGTCCGGTTAAATCTGCAACCTCTGGTGGTTTATCGTGAGAAGGAGTAAATAAAGGATTTGGTTGTACAAGATTTTGAGGTGTTTGAGGAAGGGATAATGATGCAGGAAAACGTTGGTTTACATCCTGATGTGGCATTTGAATGTTTGTTGCAGAAGGTATCTGCATTACTATTGGTTGTGATGGATTGGCAAGATAAGGTAATGAAGAACTTGGTGGTGGTGCATTCATTAGATGACCCCATAAATCGCCAACAATCTTTACTATGCGTGTGTCACCGGCAAATTCGCTGAGTTTTGTGCGAATAGTTTTGATGTCCTCTACACTATTTTTTATTATGATTATTTTTTCATGAAAAAAAAAAATATATATATATATATATAAATATAAATGCATATGCTGTGATACTAGAAATATACATGTGTATGTGCATATATTACTTACGTCATAATATTATATGAAATTGCAACCTGAGAAGCTGCTCTGACATTTTCACGAATTTCATTTTCAAAGCCGGGAAAAATGTTGATTGAAGAATGTAAAGTTTCTATTAGATCTTTGGCAATCCTCAGGCTATTTGATTTAACATTATCAACAATTAATTGTATACAAGGTTCTACAAACAATTTAATAAGATTTGATATATTAACAACTGGGGAGACAAATTCTACGATAAATAAATAATAAACGCAATAAAAACTCACCTATACAATATAGGCCCTCTCTCGTTACATTAGGATCTTTACAGTTTCTATCAAAACACAGCCAATCATAAACTAATGCCATTTTTGCTAACTCGATTGCTTCCCAATTATTCTAAAATTCAAAGAAAGTATAGAAAGTTAACTTTGGAGAATATGAACATTTCTGTTTTGTTTTTTGGTCAAATTTGGTTCCTCTTTTACTAAACTTTTCACCTTAAATTTTTTTTTTTTTAAAAAAAAAACAAATTAATTATTACTTACTCCTATCTCATGCAATAAAAAATTAATTAATATATATCTATTATTCATGGCCTTCTCGTTATTTGAACGATAAGCGGCGATTACCCATCGAATGATATCAGCAATTAAGTAACGAGGTTCTGTAGATAAGAAATTTGTTTTAAAAAAATCAAATTTTCGCTTATAAGCTGATATCGAATGCTACAAAAATAGTAAATGATAATATTCCTTAAAAAAGTGCGTCTTTAAATTCTAATATATTAAAATTGGAAAGGAATACTTACCTGTTCCAACATATGCGTTAATCTTTCATTCATGTCATACGTTAGACGACTTGATAGACAATAAACTAGTGTTCTTTGTTTCATGAGGGTTGCCTTTACTAAATAAAACACATGCAATAAGATCAGTGTTAATTAATAAAGTGTGTAAAATAAAACTTATAAAGAAACACCAACGAACCATCGTCTGGAATCGCATTTATAACGTATGAAAATTCGGGAACGATTAAATTATCTTTTAATAATCTTATTAAGTCTCTCCCTATCTTAAAGAAAGAATTATACTATTTATATGCCAAAAAAATAAGATTATAAATAAAATCATAATCAATCATTCTCTAGAAAGGATTAGAAAATAAACACTATAAATTAATACATACATGATTGTCAAATATAAATCTACAGAATTTTATTTCTTTTGTCTTCAAAGCCTCAAATCTAGGCTCACTATGATCACGTATTAAACTTGCAAAGGTATAAAATGTAATATGCAATAAACGTTCATTATTATAAAGCCACGTTCTGTAATGAAAATTAAATATATAAATTAAAACAATGAAATAATACAGATAAATTTATTTTCTTATTATAAAATGACATTACGATTCGCGTTGGAAAAATTCTAATACTTCACTGCTTAACAATATATTTACTTCGGATGTATCACCACCTAAATAATTATAAATGTTAAAATTTTATATTTATGGAAAATATAAAATTTCTATAAATACCTCTGATTTGTCGTAATAATGATTCACACACTTCATATAGACTCGAAATTCCGCCTAAAGCACCTCTATGATCTGTCACGAGATTTTCGATTAACAGCATGATCTATTGTGATATTATAAATAATAATGATTATTAAATGATAGCTTTTTAAATTATAATTAATCTCAAAGATTTATATTTACTCGGTGTATTGTTTCCATGGAATATAACGCAAAACATTTATATCTGACCAATTTTTTCAACAGTATTATCATATGGTCATAACCATCTTTATCCAGGTCTCCGATGTAATCATAATACTAAAGTAATTAAGTTAAAAATTACTATTCTTTTTTACGATTTAAATGATTTAAATACAAAAGACATTTTGTTTTCATATCATACTGTTTGAAAGTCGTCAGTTAAGGCTCCATATAAAAGTCCTGACATTGTTCTGTTGTAGCCATTAGGGATTGTATCAATCTAAATTATATATATATATATATATGTCAATAAGTAAGGTCAGATGATCATTTCATTTTAAGTAATAAATAATAATTGAACTTAACCATTCGATATAATTCATTCTTAGCATCTTCTTGCGATTTTCCTGAAATGCCCACCCATTGGTAATCATCCTTTAATTCCTATTATAAAATGATGATAAAAAGATTAATTATCACAAATTTTTAAATCACGATTGCTGTATTCACCTAATTCACTTACATTTATAAAACTAGGAATTCCATGTTGATCAGCTCTACCATTGGTTACAAACACTTTTAACATTTTTTTTTCAACTAATTATTAAGATAAATAATTTAATATATTTGTAGTATTTTCCAAAGAAAAAAAGAATAAAAATGGAAAATAAATAAATAAAAAATTGAATAAAAATTTACCCAGTATGTGAGTAAGGAAACTTTAAATAAACCAGATACAAAAAAACAAGGGAAAAATTTTGTTGATAGAACGGTGTTGGAAAATTTTGTTGATCTGGGCCTCCTATTTATAATTTTTTATGAACATAAACAATGAAGCATTGACGTAAATATGTAGATCGGTCACATGATTACATGGGGTGAGGGTTATAGGAATTACCCTCCCCCATATTAAAATTCCAATTGAGCATTATTGAATAGTCAAATTAAGTCGTCATTATCGTTTCTACATGCATAGGAACATTGCGTAATATAAGATAGTTACAATTCAGTTAAACTAATAATAGATAAACTTAGCAAATTTCGTGGTTTCCCGACTTGATGTTTTAGTAGCAAAATTAAACTAAATTTATCAAAATTCAAGAAATGAATCTTGGTTTTAAGATTCACGATCTTCTAAAAAAGAGTTAATTAATAGAGCACGTGCTTTCTGTGGAACTTTTTTTTCACTTAAATAATGTCATTTTCGTTAGCTATTGTCTGTTAAAAAAAAAAAAAAAAAAAAAAAAAGATTCTCGTTCTACGAAAATATAACGAATTTATTTTTTTTTTTAAAAAAAAAAACCACAAAAATATTTATAAGTTTTAAAACTTAAGAAGAATTATATTAAAATTATAAAAATTATGGCATTTCATCGAAATTTCCTAATTATCATTATGATTATTATGCTTGGTTTCTTGATAGATAAATTTCAAGATACAACGACAAATAATCTAAATAATTTATTTTTATTAGAAACTTCACAATCCCAAGAAGATCTTTTTGAAATCTTTGAAAGATATTTTAAACAAGAACAAGAACAACCTTCTACGGAACTCGCTGTTCGGCCTAACTATCCAGTTATTCTATCTGACGTACTTTATGAAATGTTTAGTGATGAATTTTTAGATCAATATTGGCAAAAATTCGCTGCGGCACATCATGAACCAACGCCGCTTATTTTTTGAATTAATTTTGAAGATTGTAGAGATTGTTTTCGAGAATATAAGTTTGGTAAAGTGAGTGATATAAATTTGGTATTTTAATTTAAAACCAAAAATTTTTTATTAGATGTGTATAAAGTAAAATTAAGGATGTTGTAAATAGGTTGTAAGTGAGATGGGTTTGGGATTGTTAGATTATTTATTGAAAGTATTGAACTTTTTGTAGTTACTTTTTTGTAAATAAAATCTCTTTTTTTTTGTTTTCTAATTAACTTATTGTTATAGATAACTAAATCAATTACTCAATTATTTCATTGGTCCAACTTGTTCCATTAAGTGTATAGCAAATAATATATAAAAATAAATTTACAATACCAAAAATAACTGTTCCTAAATAATGCATAATTCCTCCTGGTCCCAAAAGTCCCAAGAAATATAAGACGGCAACAGTCGTTCCATTCCATGTTAATAATTTCAAGATAACTGTAGTAATTTACCATTAAATAAGTTTTTTTTTTTTCATTGACTTAAATAATAATATCATAACAAATAAATTATTCTCTTACCATAAATTATCCATAAGATAGCTTCAAATCTAAAAATATGTATATATTTTTTTATATTTGATTATTTACATACATTATAAAGTTAAGAAAATTTGACAAAAAAACCTACATAAAAATAATATAATCCCATTTTATTAGTTTTCTGTGTTTTTCGTGTTTTTTGTTCTGACTTCTTGCAATGAGAATAGCACTATTTCCTAAAATTAAATTTATTATCATAAATAACTTGTAGAAATAATAATAATAATAAAGGTTCAAAAAATTTCAATATTTGTTTACCATTAAAAATAATACAAAAAATATCCACGAAAATATAATATATGCAACTAAAGAAACTAAAATATTTAAAAAAAAAATTAAAATTATTAGATTCTATAATTTAATATATAAGAATTTTGAATAAAAAATTATTACCCTATCGCAAATTTAGATCGATCTATAACATCCTCAATTTCTCTTAATTCTGCAAAGAATAATGCGTCTATAAAATAATAATAAATATATTAAATACTGTATGTAAAAAATCAAATTCAACTAAACAAGTATCATAAAACGTTAAACGTACCTTGAACTAAACATGCAATACAACAAATGAATTGCATATATATAATATAAGCCTGCATTTTTTGAAATTTTTTCATTTTTGTAAAATATTCTGAAACCACTCTTAATGCCATCGTTTTCATTATTTAATTTAATTAGCTAGTATAACTTAACTCCGACTTTTTCTCTTATATTTAAATCCTTTCAAGTTATGAACTTGTTAATTGCCTTATATGTTTTTTCATTTTTTGTCCATGTGGTGATAATCCTTTGGATAATTAAAATCTTTTAAATTCTTTTACTCCTTATTATTCACTTGTTTTAGATACCGCAATTACGGCATTTACCATTTATAATAGGATACTTGGAATTTTCATGATTACATAATCTCCGATGCGACTGGTGCGTGTGAATAATTCACGATAACCAAACTATTTCTATTCCTAATCTACGAGAGGTAAAACTTGCCGGAAAAAAAAAGAGTAATCACATTATGGAACAATTCAATTCAATTTCCAGGACGAAAGAATGAACAATTCTTGTACCATCAAAAAAATCGTTACCTATTCTTGGGTTAATCTTATCCAGATTAGTAGTATTCTTTATTTAATTTATACCATACTACAAATTAATAGTTTTAATATGGTATACCGGTTTGTACGGTATTATTTTGTTTATTATAAAATTAGGTTTAAGTAAATGATTTAATTAAAAATAATATGTATGCTCATAAAAAAAAAAATCCTATATAGTTAACCATTTTCATAATTTATTTGAATTTTATCTAAGTTGGTATGAATAATAATTTACATATATCTATTATTATATATAATAATTCAAATGTAAAAACCAGTAATGTACTACTTAATATAATGTTTTATCAGGTAAAATAAAATTCAGATTAATTTAATTTTGTTTTATATAAAATCATTCTTTTTATAAAAAATTAAAATAATAAATATTAATTTTAAATTTTGAAAAGTATAAAATTAATATATTAAATAAAAATTAAAATTCAGATTTTTAACTTTAATATAGCAAACCATTTTATTGAAAAATTTATTACTTATTAATTATAATAAAATTTATCATATAAAATTAAAATTTGCATTAATTTTTATTTTACATATTAAATCAAAAAAAAAAGCCAAATTATATTTAATACAAAATTTTATATAATTAATTAAACTGAAAAAAAATTAACTAAAAAATAATTATATTCAAAAATAATATTTTTTATTAAATTTTATAATAAAAGCTAATAAATTAATAAAATCAATAAATTTTATTTTATAAAAATTAAAATATATAAATTTAAATATTTAATAATATATTAGAATCCAAATATCTCTTATTTATATTAAAAAAAAATACTTTATATTATATTTCAGTAAATATTAAAGTTAGAAAAATAAATTATTACTATTAGATTCCTTTTACTAAAATAAACTTATTAATAGTATAAATTTTAAAAACAGAAATATGTATAGTAATTTAAAATTTTTGAAAAACATTCTTAAAATAAGCAATTTTTTGAAAAAATTTTAATATAATTAATAAGTACTATATATAACTTATATATAAATTGTTTGGAATTTTAATAAAATGGTTAGTTTAAAAAATTTATTATTATATAATAAAAATTTTATAATTATAATTATTTATATACTGTATTTCAGTATTATAAAAATTTTTACAATTATGAAATATTTTTTATATAAAAGTTAAAATTTGCATTTTAAATATTAATTAATATATTAGTAATTAAAATTAAAGAAAAAATTAAAATATATTTATTATAGAATTTTTATATAAATAGCTTTTACTGATTGGAAAAATTCCTAAAAATTTGGAAAATTGAAAGTTTACATCATTTAAAATATTTAAACATTCTATAAATTTTTGTAATAAATTCCTCATTCCATTTTTTATATATATTGTAATAAGAATTTTTCAAAAAAATTGCTAAGAAATTTCTTGCTAATTTCAAAAAATAAATAATATACTATTAATATTTTAGCAGAATTTATTAAATATTTATATTATTAAAAAATTAAAAGGTAGTTTTTATAAAAAAAAATCTGGAAATATTGAAAATTCTATTTTTTATTCTAAAAAAATCAATGAAACTTACACCACCTAATATTAATTTATATATATGAAGTTTACTTTCCACCTCCAGGTAAATTCAATAATATAATACTGTATATAATAATAATTTTAACCAATAAAATATATCATTTAAGGGTTTGCTTTACTCTTTTCTAATATAAAATATTACCCAACATTTTAAAGAACATTTCATATAGGTGAAAAAAATAATAAAAGTCAAACGAAACAATAGAAGTAAAATGCATTGGCTTATATTATTAACTTAGTTCAATTCTTTTTATAGATATTATTAATAAAACATCATTCGTTGAGGGGCAATAACACATACTTCAAACGCGTATAAAAAACTTAATCTACGGCCATTATATTAGGCTAATCTCAAGTTGATCACCCGTTAGGCTGTTATCCTATTTAAAATTTCCAAACGGGGTTTTTATTCATTTTCCAATCTCAGCTTTGTTTTCTTTTACAATAAATTATTGTAATTATTTAATCTCCTATTTTCGCTAGCCAAAAATGTACAATTAATTATTTAATAAATTACGTAATAATTTTTTTCTAAATTATTTACAGTTTTTTTGAGCCACTTCCTCATTTTTAGTTAATTATTAATTACTTACTCGGGAGGGGAACTTCCCCATACCGAAATTTTTGGGCATTAAGTCAGGAATTTTTCAGTGATACCGAGTACAATTACAAACTAACATTTATATTAAATAGATGAATATGGAAACATTTAAGTGTTTTAGATCCTAAAAGATAGGGTATAATAATAAAATAAGTACACGAACCGCAACTATAAATAAATAGAATTTTCAGGAGAGTTTGAACCGGGAGCTTCACGATAAATTCAACAAGCTAACTAATTTTTTGTTTGTAAAATTCATTATCAAGTGATAAGGAAAACTACACAAACGAAAACTAAAAATAATAACATAGATTGGAAATTGGATCATATCTTTTTTGGTATATTGCGGGTTTGTGAAAGAAGTTACCGTTAAGCCTTAGAATCAGTCATCAATCATTATGTACAGCGTAGAAATAAAATTTCATTCGTATAGCCAGAGTTTAGAAAAGAGATTAGAAAAAAAAAAGAAAAAAACATAAAAAAGTTGGCGTGTTATAACGTCATGTTTGACAAAAATGTACGGCAAAAAAATTAGACACAAAATATAACTAAATGGAACTTCTTAATGAAAAAGAGAGATTAGATTTAATACATTTGTACATCCATCCTATGACAAACAAATATGAAATAATAATAATGCACATAGTTTCATTCTGGTTAATCGTATTGTACAAATCTAAACATGGCAACTTTTGCAATTCAATTTTTAATATAAAATCAAATCGATTTATAGATTGTCAATTTTCATAAATGTAAGATGTGGATGTTTAAAATGAAGATTTATGAAGAATCTTCATACTGGCTTATGTTAAGAGTAACTCAATTTATTATTACTGTCTTTTGTTTGATATTAGGTAATTAATTTCTTTTGACGTGTATTTAATGTCAGACTGTGGCGCAGTTTTAATAAATAACTATTTACGTTTTAGAAATTATTCAAGTAATATTATTTATGTCATTACTTCAAAACACGGTTCCACTCTCTATATACTTTAGCAATAATGGCCAGTAAGTAATTTAAAGTTAATTTTATCAAACATAAAGAAATATTCTAAATATATTTTAGGTATAAAGGAGAAGTCAAGATTTGGTACTATATAGTTATAGGCTTGAGCGCGATAGGATTAGGTAAAGTAATTTATTATTTCTTGAATAAATTGCATTGTGCCCAGAAAAATTTTAAAATAGAATCGATTTCATTTCAAAGGATTTTGCATTGCATATTTTAAAAGATTACATGAAAAAGGACCATTCATCATTATCGAAACGTACGTATAATCATTTTTTATTATTATTAAAAATTGAAAAATAAATGATAATATTTCTTTATTTGTATATGTATGTTAGAATTTTCTTTTTATTATGGCTTTCTTCCGGTAAATATTATTTATTTTTTTTAAAAAAAACATTTACCCTATAAATTTTTATTAATATTAATTACAATCAGGTATCGCAAACCTTTATCCATTATATGATGGAGGATTAGTCTGTAATGCAAAAGGCTATGACTCAGAAATAATTCCGCATCAATATTATTTATGGTGCAGATCATATTTGATTAGTACTTTATTGAGTTGGATGAATACTCTTGCATTCGTTATTACAATATTATTTTCTTCGATTATATTAGGACAAAATGAGAAAAATGAAACGATATTAGAAAGAACCTTATTTAGATTTAAACATTTACGTGAAACTCCAACAAATAATCCGCACATAATAAATGTTCAAACTGATTAAATTATTTTTTCGATTTTGTTTGTAAAATCAAATTAAGAGACGATCGATAAGAAATATTCTTTCTTTTTAATAACTAAGCAAATAAGAAATAAGAAGAAAATTGTTTAAGCGGGCAAATTTTAATAAAAAAAGAAAATATTTATTTAATTCCGTAACTTTTTAGATTAATATTACTTAATTAAAATATTTTTAAACTACGCGATTTTTCATCAGCAAATGGCTGCTGCATGTAAGTGCACTAACAGTGTACAAATCACAAAAAAAAAATATACATATATATAGCTATTGGGAACGAAGTACTAAATGATTGGTTAAGGTGAAAAGTATCTTTCTTTATTATTTTATTAATTGTAATGTTGCGTCAAACTTTATTTTATTTTTATGTCATTTTAGCCTCACTAATTATATATATATCACACTATCACTCGAAATAACTATCATATAGGCAGTTATTTTTAATTGGGATGTATCACAATGTGTGCAGAATCAAAATTTTATTAAGTTGACTTTAAGTTTGCGTTCAACGCATCTGAATGGTGGAAGTTCTACTGATGATTGATGACTGATAATGGTTCCATCTAAACTTTATTCTATAATTAAATGTAACTTTTTTTTTCTCAACTTTTCCAATTTGTGTCATAAAGAGTATGAGATACGTGATTCAGAGATGTTTTTAATAATTTAAATGCTAGAAAGTACATGACATATTTTCAGCGGATGTAGCCAACAAAGCATCTAACCTTGAATGGTGTACACCGAAAGAAAATGCTCATTCAGTGTCAACGTGCTGTCATGCAGATTTTTGATGATGGCTCTGCTCATCCTTAGCTGAAGCACAACGTGTCACTGGAATTAAAAGCTCTATATGGAAGGTTTGTAACATACTTTAAGCTCATGCTAGATGCATGGGAGTACGTCGGTCAGCCAATATCATGTGAACGTGGAATGATAATGACGTAAAAGTTCTGGAAAATTCGCCCGGTTATAAAGGAAACATATGGTTTTTTTTGTTTTCCCGTTTGCTCTGCGTTTCTCTTGTTCTCTGTACCTTGAACAATTTTATCAAATAATGAGTGTTACGATGGAAGGCTCAGAAGAAATCTTCGTTCAAGTTACTCAAGAGACCAGACAGGCCTCTAAAATTAACCAAGTATTTAAGTGATGCTCAACAGCTCAAGACTGTTTTAAAATAGCAAAGAAGTATGGCTAATGACTACATACAATAGATCTGCACGAAAATTGATGAAATATTAGCGCAAAATCTAAATAAAACTCTTGTCAAGATTACCCTCCCTGAGCTAGTTGAATGTGATGTACATGTACGCCAGGCGATACGTGATAAATATGACCCTGAAATAATTAATAACGACTTGTACATCAAAGTAAGTTTATTTCAAGCTACATATCATTGATTTGAATCTGACCACTTTTTATTTTAGATTGACGGGGGCCATAAAGAAGATATTCAAGCCAATTTTCTGATTTCAGGCAGGGTACATAATCCAAATTGGTTTGTAGCACTTAATACATGTTGTGTGATAGCAGGAAATGAGTGTAAACCAGATGTTGGTGTCTGGTTTCAAAGACCAACTTACCAGCAATTGCATAACCCAATCGCTAATCAATGTCCACCACCAAATGTGTATATTGAGGTAATTTATTAAATTCTTGCAGAAATTGCAAATGGCTTTGCTCATCAGATCTAAATACTTGATAGGTATTTTATAACCTTGATCCTTATCTTCAACTTGCATTTGATAAACTTTTTGTGATTCAGCAGAATTTTCCTGCTATAGAATTTGTTTGAATTGCATTGCCCGATTGTCAAGGTCCTTTTCTTCAGAATCCTAATCCTGGAGTTGCATCAGTTCCTTCAACTCCTTAAAATCCTCCAAATGTCAGACCAAATCGTGCACCATATTTTATTTACTGGAATGGTACCAATGCGATTTACTATAAATTTAATTGGAATGAACATTTGGTATTAGGATGTGGATGGACATTGGAATTAAATAATGTACTTGGTTCAATTTCTATGCCATGATGGTGAATGAAGTTATTATGGTTTGCATGAATATTTCCAAACATGATTATGAAAATTTAGAATAATTATAATTTTTCATAAATATTATTGTAGATGAATGAATAGATAGTAGATTATACATTGCAAGTTATACAAAATAAAAATTCTATACATATGCGTGCTTGTAAATTCTGCAGAATGAACGATCCCCATCATTTAATATTACCATTTTATAACAGTTATAACGAACTTGCATTCTGACATTTCATCCTTTGCAATTCTTATCCCCAAATGACGAAATGATGATTGACGAAAAAAATACCTATATTCGAATAACGTTTTAGAGGATATGATTCGCACAAATCGGGATCAGAATTACATCATCACATTGCGACTGCGCATTTTCAGGTACATGAACGGTCTATATTACGATCGTGAACTTGAGTTTATTTATTGCTTGAAGTGTTGCAGGTAAGACAATATTCCAACTTATCTTGAGAATAGAACTTCGCTAATTCAGGATCATAAGGGAGCTGATTCCCATTTTCGCAGTACCATGAGCCATGTAATCCATAATTCCCATGTTTTCCATTGCAAATAGGACATATTGAGCTCCATGGCTGAGGTGATGTAAAATCATAATTATCAATCCCTCTAAAACTATTTCCGAATTTCAAGTATGGGAAGTGCTCTAAGATGGATTTGATAATTAATTCTAGATCAGGTCTAGCTTTGAAAGTGATGGGCCCTTTTTTTTGACATTGCTCACCGGAGAAGAGAAAAGATAAATCAGATACTTTGTTTTCTGGTGAATTTATGACTTCTGATTCATATACTTCTGATAGTTGCCATGACTCAAGTCCCATTTCTCTTTTATATTTTTTGTATAAGTTGGATTATAAAGATGCTGCCCAAAACTTAATAGTTTCTGAAACTGTCAAAACCGAAACTTGGTAAAACTATTTCTGAAATTTTCTTATTTTCCAAAACTGGTAAAACTGGTAAAACTAATCTAAAACTGGTAAAACTAACCCAAAACTGGTAAAACTAACCCGAAACTGGTAAAACTAATCTGAAACTGGTAAAATTAATCCAAAATTTATAATGCCAAAATTATTACTGAAAGTTCAAAATTTGGCCGAAATTATTGATATAATCCTGGCCATTTTTAGGACGTATTTCTGGCCAAGAAAATGATCGACATTAAAATTTCCTTTTTTGGAATTTTGTGTAACTATCGTGTAACTATTTTTTCAATTTTACTGGGAAACACAATTTCTTTTTTAGGAAATTGGTGTAACGTCACGTGATAAAATGTCATAATTTCGGCCAAATTTTAATTTTGGCCAAAATTAGTGAGTTTCGGGCTAATTTCGGGAGTTTTGGCTAGTTTCGGGAGTTTCAGAATAGTTTCGGATTTAGTTTCGGTTTCGGTTTCGGTTTCGGAAACTGAAAAATAGTTTCGGGCAGCATCTTTAAGTTGGAATAGATCTTATCCATCAAAACTCTTGGTAAACCAGTTAATTTGGCATGCCAATCCAGATACTTGGGGGTTAATACTTTATCGGACTTGCTCATATTGCCTTTTATATGATTGCGAATCAATTTAAATCTCTTTTTTCTCATATAGATCTATTCGTTCAAAAAAAAGATTAAAAATTTACAGATAGATTATCATCCCAAAGAGTTACCCAGACTATTGTAAAGCAATGAGACTATGCAACTATCTCAATTTCATGCTGTTCATATTTAATAAAATAGGATCCAGCCTTATATCTACCTTCTATACTTTCCTCATCATCATGATCTAAACTGCATAATAGGCAGGTCCTTTTAGAACCACATGATATATCATCAGTAATTCCATAATAATCGAAATTTTCACTACTAAATTCTCTATATAAATTAGGATATTGATTCAATGTCTTGTTGCAAAAATATGTGCGGTCATAGATTAGACTAGTCCTACTTATTTGAGGTATGACTGATGAAATCGTTTCTGCTAAAGTCATATAATTCTGATCATTACCAATGGTAATGGTTTTATGAACCTGATCATTTACATAATCTATAATATTTTGAATTTGGGTATTGGTTAATCTAAAAATATCACTCACGCTACAAGTAACTAACTTAATTCTATCTATCCCAATCCTTTTTCTCCAAACTGCATAAGAATATTTTTAGCTCTACTACCCCATAACCTTTTTAACATCACGGTGAAGTTCTGCATCATTTTTCATTATTTTCTCATTAAGTGCTATGTTGTTATTCTATTAACGATTAAAGCTGACTGAAAAACTTTAACGCTTTAACAGGTTAATTGGAGTTTAACTTAATAGGAGAGTCTTAAGTTGATCACAAATAATCACGTAAAATAACGTTGAATGTTCAGTTAAAGAAAATAGGTTTTTATTAAAATAATGTAAGATTTTAGATATGACGAAAAATATAGATAATCTCTTTGTTGCAAAATTAACTATCTTGAATTATACTATTGGAAATAATACTCTTTTCATATAACTCAAAAACTACAATACAATTCTTAACTATCTGTAAAACTATCTAACTAACTACTCCTTCAACTTGGTAAAATCCTATCACTATTTATAATAAAATAAAAATTAAGAATATTTGATAAATTAAATAAAACAAATATAATAAATAAATAAAATAAAATAAATAAATAAGATAAAATAAATAAATAAAATAAAATAAATATATCAAATAAATAAAATATAACAAATAAAATTAATAAAATAAATAAATCAAATATATCAAATTTATCAGATTTATCAAATAAATCAAGAAAATCAAAAAAATCAAAAAAATCAAGGGATCTATAAAATTATCTACAAAATTGACATTTCTATTTTAATAATGTAATAGTCATCTTTTGTGCAATAGATCCTTTTTGGTATGTACATGAGGAAATATCAGTTAGAGGCTAAACAAAAAGGTACAAGTTAGAATATACGAATGATGGATAAAAAAATCACACAAAAGACTGAAAAGCTCTACCTGTAGTTACGATTCCATAGAGATAGTTAAACTTATCATCAAATGTTACGAATGCTTTCCTTTTCTTGTGTTTGTATGGTGAGAGTGCATTATGTTTTGCATGAATCCCACCACCAAATCCTTTTATTTTCTCTCGGTTATGGCTATCAACTCCTTATTGACGACATCTATAACTTCTTGATTATGTAATTAACTTAGCCAGATGTTTTTTCGCCTATAACTTTGAATTTACTTGCTTATATTCATCCTCTTTTCTTTCTGAAATATAGCGAAAGTCAAGACATTTGTTTTGATTGTGCCATTTACACAGGTCGAAAAGTGAAAAATCAGGCATCAATCAGTCACCAATTGGCATTTTCGCCAAATACCGTCACCAATCAGGCAGTTTGCTAACTTTTGATCCAGTGATCAGAAAAAGATGAAATATAGCTCATTGGAATCGTCTCAACATGACGAATCTAATGGTAGTAAAATCTCATTTCTAGGATTAATACTTGATGAAAAATTAAGTAAAATATAAAAATGAAAATGTATCATTTATATTTTATTTAACAGTTACTGGACATTTCCAGCACAGCGCCAATCACTAATTAAAAATTTTGTACTACATAAATTAGCCTATCTTCATTTAGTTCGAATGGGATAAAGATTTAACAAAATATAACTTTTTTTACAATACATTAAAAGTATCATATATGAACTTTCAAATGACACTAATTTTATCAAAATACCTCACTTCCTTAAATATTTCACTATATAAGGTTTTTCTATGACTTTTTGACCTTTAAACTGAGATCCTTCCGCCAATATTAGTTCTTTCAAAAAGATTTTTACGTAACGAACCAACTATTAGTATAGTTTTATTGTTGTAAAATTTGGTTGGAAGTTTATATGTGCGTTGTTGATAAATAGCTGAGAAGGTAAATTCCTTATTATACAGTAAACGTCAGAACCAAAAAATGTTTAGTTTACAGACACTTCTAAACTTCACATTCAACTTTTTTATATAATTTTATTAAAAAATTATCAATAATTTAAATAAATTTCTAATTACATGTTTCAGAATAATATTCACCAATCAACAACTTTTTTCTATTATCCATTTTCCACATCAGATTTATACAGTTCATCCTCACTATAGTGAATCCTATAGGCTGGAGATTAAAATTCATTATAGTGAGAAATTCACTATACTGAGGGTCAATTTATTATATATAAAAAAAATCTGTACCTGAACTTTTCTTCATTATAGCGTTATTCACTATATAAAAATTCACTATGGAGAGGGTGAACCATATGACGGCCATCAATTAAAATAATATTAGTTTCGTTTAAAATGAGATCTTAAATAGAAGTAGTATAATTTTGAAGGCTAAATTGGCTTTTATAGTTTGAAAAATATTCTATATATTTGTAACTTTGTAGTATTTTAACGAAAAAATAGCCAACTTTAAGTAGAGATTCTTCTAACTTGTTATTAATAAACAACCCTTGGAAAATTATATCGACGTGTCAGTTAGAACTTAGAGAGTAAGAAAAAAATTTTTTTTTTTTTTTTTTTTTTTTTAAAATTTAATTTTTTTTTTTTTTTAAAAACCAGAATTTTGAATATTTACTAATAAATCATAGTAAAAAAAGTGATTGACAATCTGCATATTTAATTAGTAAATCCATTTGACACCCCTGTTACCGGAAATGTCCAGTGACTGTTAATTTTTTATTAACTATTAATCCTAGAGATGCAATTTTACTACCATTAGATTCGTCTTGTTGAGACGATTCCAATGAGCTATATTTCATCTTTTTCTGATCACTGGATCAAAAGTTAGCAAACTGCCTGATTGGTGACGGTATTTGGCGAAAATGCCAATCAGGCACCAATTGGTCACCAATCAGTTACCAATCAGCTATCTGATTGGTGACCTATTGGTGCCTGATTTTTCACTTTTCGACCTGTGTTATAGATACATAGACTGATTTCTGGGTTATTTTCTTCAAACTTTTTATAAACTGGTGTTGAGACTAGTACTGGAATTGGAATGTCATCCATATTAAATAGAGTTCTGAACAGGTTGACCAAATTCAGGTAACCTGACAGGTTGACCTGAATTTTTCAAGTCAGGTTTAGCAATTTTCAGCATCAGTTCAGGTTGTAACATCAATATAACCAGAATGACCTGTTGATCTGAAACTATGATTTTATATAATAAGTGAGTTATGGTATTATAATTAAAGTTGCCTGCCAAAACTCTACAGGCTATGTCAAAATGTCAAAACTAAAACCTGTCGAAATGCTAAAATGCTGAAATAGTTTAGACATGAAATTATCGAAATCCCAAAATATTACATTTCACGTAATAACTTGGCATCCAATAATCGTAGAAAGATGCACTATAGCTCATTGGAATCGTCTCATAACAACGAGTCAAATGGTTATTAGATCGTCTTTCTACTGTGCAAACAGTCCTATGACTTTATTTTTTTATTTATATTTTAAATCGAATATTTACAAAAGAATCGAACAATATTACAAAATAAGAAAATAAAAATAAAAATAAAAAGAGTAGCTTCACAACTCATACAAGTAAAGAAATCTAAACTATAATAAAATTAAAGAAAAGAAAAACTAAACTATTACAGAATCGCATACTCGACTTTACCCGAAGGCCAGTGTGAGTCAACTATCCAATATCCCAAAACCCAGTCCATTACCAGAAAGAAATCCTAAGAGGTTGAACTGTTAAGCAGCGCAAAAAATCCAAGTGCGAAATCCAAGATCTACCTCGAATTATTGAAGAGGATATCCAAGAAAACCAGGAATCCTGAGAAACTGTTGCCAAAGAAGAGCCAGAAGTGGTGAGAGGAGAAGGTGAAGAATAAGAAACGGGAAAAGAGTAATAATTTACAAGATTAAAATCTTGTGAATCCAACCATAAGTGAAAGAATACATTGCGAGGCATCCAAATGTCCCAATATAATTGTTCGTGAAGATTAGATAAAAGTGAAGTTAAAACTTCAAGAATTTTTTTCTTAGGAAGTAGTTTGCAAAGATGTTGCACAAGGTCAGCAGGAAAAGACCGCGAGTAAGCCAAAGACAAGATGATGAGGGTATAGTAAAATCCCAACAATCTAAAGCAGAAAATTCAAGCAAAAAGGAATCTGAAAGAAAAGCCAATTCAGAGAAATTAGTAATACAAGCATCATGAAAAGAAAGCATAAGCTTGTAATAGATAGACCTAGAGCTAGCATCAGGAATAATATAGGGATAAGTCCAAAGATGATTCATGTCTTCAGGAGCAAAGTGGCAAAGAGAACATAACCAATCGGAAGGATAAAGAAAAGGTTTGCATTTCTGAAGGGCAGTTAAAGTAGGTAGCATATCCAAAAGAATTTTAAGTCAAAACGCGAGAAGTCCTTTTTGTCTATTGTGATGAGTAGTAAAGCCAGTCAAAATTATCAACTGGAGCAAGATGAGAAAACCGAAAAAGGGAACTAAAATTCAACAAATTTTGGATCTTATAAATAGATTTAAAAAAGTGGCGAATATTATCATTAACTGGAAATGAGTCGTATAAAATGAATCTAACAGAGCCATAGGAGTAGAGTTCCGAATGGGTCAGGTCAGGTCAGGTTAATTGATAAACCTGACCTGAAATTTTTTTTTAGGTCAGGTCAGGTCAGTTTATATCAGGTTGTCTGTTTGACCTGACCTGACCTGAAACCTGAAAAATTTCAG